GGGGAGGAAGGGGATGGGGGCCCCGTAAAGGCTTAACGCGGCACTGGTGATCTCTCCTTAGTACTGCTAGAGTAAAGTCGTTTTACTTTTCTGTCGTTTTTCAGTGTGGTTTTCTCGGTCATATCAGTGACCTTGTCTGAGCAGTTGAAGGCTGTGCATTTATTGCGTGGACGGAGCCAAAACAATGGAAGTGTCTAAAAGCATACGCACAGTTCCTTTGAATGATAAATTACTTTGAACGTAATGTCGTTAAACTGAATGCACGAAGGAAACTTTTAAAATAATCACAGCATTAACAACAACCTTGAAATAAGAGCACGAGGTTTCTCTGTCAGTCAGATGCATGAGTGTTGCGTTCGTTAATATAGCAAACAGACACCGGGCGCGTTTTCGATCAGAATCATCATTCGCCAATAGAAAGGAAAAGTTAAATACTGTAGCATTTTATTTTATAATAAAATAAAGAAACTCACATCATGCAAAGGTGTGACATAAAATGTTACCCTATAGCTTACATTCACAGTATGCTACACAGTAGTTAACACAAAATACTTTTAAAGACTTAAAAAAAAAAAATTGGCTATTCCCTATTAAAAAACAAATATACTAAAATGCATTTGAAATAAATGCATTTCATGCTAAGTATACTACAAACAATTTACATATTCATGTACTTAATAACAATACCCTGCAATTGTACTTTTAGTAGCCTATACTAAACTGGTATAAAGTGTGCTAAATTGGAAGTAGTGCTGAAGTCCAACTAAAGATATACTGAAGCACATCTGATTGCTAAAGTGGAACTATTGCAGGTATAGTCCAGGTGCACTTTAAATATCCTGCATTTAAAGACTGATATTATTCAAAGATCATACAATCCTCATCAAAAGTGACATTAAAACACATTTTAAGCTTAATATTAAGTAACACGAATTACGCGCAAGTACGGTAGTACTCCAAATAAAGTTTAATTAAAAGTTTTAATTAGATTTTAAAAAATAAAAATAAAAAACATACTGTATCGTTAATTAAGTCACTGCAAGTCAGAATTTCTTTGTTGAAAAAACAAAACAAAACAAAGATAAGTTTCATTAGTGCATTCAGAAATAATATAAGTACTAGTAAATAAAATGAAATTATTTTTGTAATATTGTAAATAAATGGTATTTTTAATGAACATTATACATGTTAAAACATACATTTTAATTCCTGTTACTCCACAAGTCCTTTAAATTGAGC